GGGGCATGGAGGAGGTACTCTGGTACTGAGCAGAGTGGGGAGTAGGGGAGCCGTGGGAGAGGTACTCTGGTACTGAGCAGAGTGGGGAGTAGGGGAGCCGTGGGAGAGGTACTCTGATACTGAGCAGAGTGAGGAGGAGGGGGCATGGGTTGGGGACTTAAACTCCTAGCTCCTGAGGAGTAAATTCACATCACCTGGGTGGTCTCAGAATCTACAAGCTGGGCATTTAGATGACTATACTCCTGGCCTGGCAGTGCCTCCGCGGTGCCTGACTATGAACAAAGGCAAACCCTTCCCACAGGTAGTTTTTCAGCAGCAGTGAAGAGAACCCAGCCAGCAGTAAGGGAGCACACCAGGGAGTAGGACATGGTGCAGTAGAGCCAGCAGAGACCATGGGCAGTGACAGGCAGCCTCCCGGAGATTGTATGCATTGGACTATATCAGCCACCGATTTGAAACTCATGGCTGCACATCGCTAGACAGGGTTTAGCAGTAGTTTACCTGGCCAGTTGGGTTATGGGGCTGGGGGTGGGGGTAGTTAGTATACTGCTGTCACAGTTACTTTATCACTCCCAAAATGATGGCATTAAATTCTGCTTTCACAAATTATCCAGTTTCTACAGTGAACATTTACAACCTATCTGCCATCGTTAGAAGTAGATGACTGTCCAAGGCAAAGAGCAAGGCTAAATGAGCAGCAGATGCCACTTGAGCAAACTGGCGAGGGGGAGGATGGGCGTGGGCGGGTGAGCTGCCCTCTGGACATATGTAGAATAGGAAGTTTAGGTTTTTCTCCCCAAACTGCCTCATCGGGCAGACTAACCAAGTGCTTCAGAGCCACTGGCCCTGTGAAAGCCCTCCCCCCACCCCTTACCCCAAGGATCCCATTTCTTGGAATGTAGTCCAATATTCCTAGCATCTGTGTGGGCTCACCTCCCGTCCGTTAGAGCTCTTGTGAATAGCTCGGCTGGGGGTTCTGAAATGTCCTCTTTCCACGTTGGCATGCAGGCTGCCCTTATCCTGATGGTAGAAGCAGCAGCCTTTCCCAGCTCTCTTTCCCTCAGGAGAATCCAGAGACTCACTTCTTTCTCAACCTCCAGGACCTCTCGGAACCTGCACAGCCACTATCACGAGGCGCCCCTGACCCGGAAGCACTATCAGGTCACTGGCTATGGCATAGTAAGTGAGCGGTCCTGGCCCAGGACCATGTGGTGGACTATCCTTCCCAGAATTCTGGAATGTTCCTAAGGATGAGAGACTGGACAGTGACTCTCGCATTTGGTAGCTCTTTTGGTTAGCCTTACTGTGGGAAAAGCAGCTTATGGCGTCTGCTTGTCCCCATCTCATGGCTCCCATCGTAACTATGCCATTTATACATCTGACAATAAATGTCAAGGACAAATACAATTTGAGTGCCTTCTAAAGTCACAGTGGTTATAGAAGCTAAGGGCCCACAGTATGGTCCTGTACAAATATGGAAGTTTACCAGATCCCAAATTCTCATTGGCCTTATTTTTAAGCATCTTTTCCCTGATCTGCAGAGGGACAGTGTCCACAGGAACTGGATTTTTGCTGCTTGGGGGCGGGTGAGGCAGTTCACAGAGGGCATTCTAGGGCATTCTAGGGATAGCCTGTGGGGTCATTTGAAGACAAGACAACTCGTGGGAAACTGCAGGGACTTGGAGTGACTTGGCGCGTCAGTGCGATTCTGGGCTCCATGGGGTGGGTTTCCCGATCCTCATTCCATCTCCCTCCCTTGGACGTGCCCTTCAGGGAAGATGAGGCACAGTGCGTCCTCCAGGCCAGACCTTGCTGGCTCAGCTGAGCGGGTATCCAGATGGCCATGGTAATGGACGTGCCCGGCCCAGATGTATTTCTGTTGGCTCGGGCTGCTATCTGAGTTTGATGGCTTAAAGGCTATGCAGTTAGAACTTATGTGCTGGTCTTAGGAAATACAGAATTAAACTTCTGGCTATGGGAGTGGCACTGCTCATCCTCTGGGTAGAGAACGCACTGGGCGGGGCTAGTTTCCTGGCGTTTCTGTGGCCCTCCCCTTCCCCACCCGCTCCTTCATAGTGAAACTTGCTTCACCTGCTGTGACGTTGGATCTTTATAACACAGTGGCACCCGAATGGGCCCGGTGTCCTGGCCATCTCCCTTTTGTGACGCCTGTCCCTCAAGGTCTCTTCCTTTCCGCGTGACAGAACGGCACAGGTGACTCAAACGATTTCTGGCGCATTGAGGTTGTCAACAGAAAATTTGGGAACCGGATCAAAGTGCTGAGAAGCCAAATTCGCCTCATCCATCAGGTCACAGGTTGTGTGCTGGGCTCCTCAGGAAAGGTCCTGCCTAAGTGGTGAGTCTCTAGGGACTTGTCCTTTCTACACTGTGAAGAGGAGACCGGCTGCTTCCGTGCCCTGTGGGGGGAGGTCAGATGCGCTGGCATTCCCTCCCCTGCAGGCAATCAGTTGCCAGACTGCTGTCTCGACCCACCACAGGGGTGGGCCTGCTCCCTGCCTCTGGGGACAATGGACAGGCTCCTGTAGGAGGAGTTTTCACCCTACTGATAATGGTTCCTATGGAGACCCAGAGACCAACCCCTAGACCACCCTCTCATTGCTGTGTAACCTATAGTGCTGCTCCTCCCTGTGATGTATGTCTCTACCTGTAATTAGTGGGCTGGCTTGCCCCCAAAAGGTATATAGGCGTGAGTCAGCTCTCGGACTCTCTGACCTCCTTGCTGCTCACTTCCTGGTCACTCCCCTCTCTTCCCCCTCTCCCTTGTTCCCTTGCCCTCCTTCCCTTCCCCTTCTCTCCACGTGGACCACCAAGCTGGGCTGAGGTGAGCAATGCTACCATGTAATATGTCTGACTGTATTATTGTATTATCTCTCATGCTCTCGATGACTTTAATATAATACTTATATATCTCAACCGTACAATTGTGCATTACTGAACCCAGAAGTAGTATTACTGAACCAGTGAGTTCTAGTAGCGGGTGGGGCTGGCACCCCACTCCCCCGTGCCATTTTTAACTTAATACTACAGTGCCCCAGTGTTGAGTGCCCGCCTCCTGCTAGTTCTTGGTGTCCACGGAGATGGGAGGGGAGGTACTGGCAGTAACGCACTGGGCCTGGCTGGGCCTCTTCCTCACCCGAGAATTTGGTAGGCTTGACTGTCCCTAGCATCGTTGTGGACGACGGTACCCATGTGAGGTGGGAAGAAAAAGGTCCGCTGTGTTGGAGAGAGGTTCCACAGGGCGGTGGCAATAGGGACACTGGTGGTGGCCGTCGGGTCTCCTGAGGAATGTGGTGACTGCTTTCCACAGGGGCTGGGAGCAGTTGGAGGTGACTTGTACGCCATACCTGAAGGAGACCCTCAACTCCGTCTGGAATGTGGAGGACCATTTCAATCCCAAATGTGAGTGAGACCCAGGCCTTGGCTGGGTCTGCTGGGCAGCGTTCATCCATAACCCATAATGTGTTAGGGACAAAACGAACCTTCCTAGACTCTGCTGCCACGTCTCACTATTGCCATTTCTTGTTCATCTTTGAAATCTAACCTCTTCATATCTGTATCCAGATAAACTACTGCCCCCCGCCCCCATGTACTTTCTCCTTAGAGTGGCCAAGGGCCTTACCTGGGACCAAGGCTAGTTGCTTCTTCTCCTTGGCCGCTCGCTCTGCCGGACTCTTGTCTCCCTGCTGTTGGGATGCAGCTCCGGCAGACTGCTTCCCTCTGGGCTCTTCTCCCTGCTGCGCCTGGTACCCCAGCCCATGCCCCAGGCTGAGCGCAGACAGGGGCACTTGGTGCCCTGGGTAGAGCTCCTTGTCTCCCACCTCCAGCCAAGACTTGGCAGAAGGTGTTGTCCCAGCCCTGATCTGACCCCCGGCTCCTCTTTGCCATTTCTACTTCACTCTCAGCCTCTGGCCCCCTCCCCCACCCCCTCAGCCAGCTGCTTCCTGACACTCCATTTCTCCTGGTCTTCATGCTATCGACTTCATTCTGCATGTGCCGTCTAGCCGAGCTGACGCATTTTCAGTCTCTGTTGAGTGTCTCTGCAACAAGAAGGGCCCTGGGCATGCGTGGCTGCAGGAGGCCACAATCCCTGATCTCATGGACCTCAGGCTGGAACTAGTGCCTGGGGAAGAGCAAGCGCCCAGAGCGGTGGGAGCAGCCAGGTGGGGTGGCTTCAGAATCTGTTTCCTCTGTCCAGTCGGATTACAGGTCTCAGGGTCAGGCCAGGCTCCTGCCGTCCCTCCCCGCTCAGCTGCTGGTCGGGGAGGTGAGGGGAGGGGAGGGGAGTGGGCGCCACCACGGTATTCTCCTGTCCTTTCTCCCTGCAGTGCCCAACATCAGTCTGGACGTGCTGAAGCCCAGCTTCCCCGAGATCTTGCTGGAGTCCCACATGGTCATGCTGCGGGTACTGTGGCCCTTCCCTAAGAACTAGCTTCCTGCACACACATCCAGAGCCATGGTACAGACCCACTGCCCCTGTGGGGGACTTTCCAGGGCTTCAGGACAGGTCAACCTGCTCTTCAGAGGCATCTATAGCTCTTGTCACAGAATGAGCATGAGGATGCCAGTGAGACTCGCCTTGCTCTTAAGTGACAGGTGCTGCCCTGAGCACTGTGCATCGTCCCTTCATTTACTGCTCGTTCCAGCCCAGTGAAGATCATGGCTATCCCAGTTTGTGGAGGAGGGTACTGAGACACAGAGGTGGACCCAGGCTTCAAAGTTGGGGTGGCGGACTTTGAGGGTCATAGCTAGTCACCACTGCACTCCTGATTTTCACATTGGTTTGGGGGCGGAGCTCCTGAAAGTCCCAGTGCTCAGGGTTACCGAGCAGGAAACATGCTCTGAATCCTACCTGGTCACAGTTTGTTAGAAGCTAGGCTAAGGACCCCCTGGTGTTGCAGTGGGGAAGCACTCGGCCGCCAAACCAGAGCTCAAACGATGACCGTCAGTGACATCTGATGGGGCAGTTGCCCCCTGATCTTTGGGGTCCCTGTGAGTAGGAATCCACTCTGCAGCAGCAGCAGCAGCGGCAGACCCAAGTGGCTCTCCTCATGCCCTGTGGAACCGGCCCTGAGCCCACCCTGCCTCCAGACCTGCCTGCACTTTGGCACCTAGCTGAGGTCCATTGTGGGCACCCCGCTGTTGCCCAGGAGTGGACAAGCAGCCCAAGCTGCAAAGATTTAAGACCCACTGGGAAATGAAAAAAATTTAAGTTGTCCACTATCTTAAATTTACAGGAAAATTCCGACTTGGGGGTTTGGGAGAAACCCCCATCTGACTTAGGGAGCCCACTATCCATGGGGAAGATGTATGAGAAGCACTGGGTCTTCCCCTGAGGCTGCAGGGAGGTGAGGCGGCCCTTCCAGCCCCACCCCAATGAGGTAACCTTCGTCAGTGGGCTACTCGGTAAACAGCTGACCAGCTTCCCAGGTGAAACGGCACAGTGACACGCCAGCATTCTGCTCCTCTGCAGAGGGGATGGCTGGGTGTTAAGCAGGCTCTGGGCCGCTGGTCTGCCTGTCTGCTTGTAGCCGTCACAGTAGCCTGGGGACCCTGCTCCTCTAAATGTACACCTGTCGGCCATGAAGGCAGTCTAAATCCAGGTAGAATCTAGACTAAGACGAAGCCTAAAGAGTTTCATTTCTTTCTCCTTTCATGGTCTGAGAGTTATGGCAAAGAGGAAGAGGCGCCCAAGAGACTTGTTCCTGTAAGCCATGTGGGGAGAGCTCAGCAGTGAGCCCTGAGGACAGAGGCAGGGAAGGCATCAGAGCTGGGCTTCTCTAAGCCCGCCGTAGTGAGGGACGGAGGAGCATGGAGGCTTCTGCGAGCTCTGGAGTCCCGAGTGTGGGTCCAGGGGCTGGATTTCCCTCGGCACCCTCTCCCGTGGTCCAGGGTGCTTCCCCCTTCTTTTTGAGGCCCTGCAGACATGGGGCTGTGCACCTGACCCTTTTGGCTCTGACGCCGCTGCACCTTTCACCCTGAGAAGCAGCCCAGCATCATGGGGACACCCAGAAGCTACAAGAGCACTTCAACAAGTTTATGGGAAAATTCCGTTCTCTTTTCATTTAAAACACCCCCTCTACAGCGCCCCCCTCCACCCCAATATTCCCAACCCCTCAGGGAATTGGATTAGCGAGGCAGTCATGGTTGACTTAACCAGACCTTCTGGATCTTCCTGAGTTAGTTAGTTCAGCGGTTCTCAACCTAGGCCAGTTTTGCTGCCCAGCAGGTATTTGGCAAGGTCTGCTTGGATGCCGTGAGTAGAGCCGGGGGTGCGGACAGCCCCCTAGCCCCAAGGCCGAGATAGTGCTGCAAGTTAGAATCCCTGACCACCTCAAGTGACATGTCTTCTTAGGGTGTCTAGATGACAGGGCTGAGGCCAGCCCGGTGCTCCTTGCTCTCAGCCCTTGTTATAGCACAGATCTGCTGGTTCCCAGCAGAGTCTGGCTGCTGACTGTGCTGGCTCCTGGGTTAGGGGCCACGGACGGGGCCTTCAGGTGGAAGCGGGTGGGTGTTCTCTGCAGGCGAGTGTGAAGGGCGGGGGGTGCGTTTGTTTTTGGACGGCAGGCATTCTTACCCTTGATACATACAGTAAAGTGCCCTGTAGAACTGATCCTGTAACAGAGTGTGATTCATGGAGAAAACAGTGGTTGGGGCACACTGGCCTAGCACCCTTTTCCCGGCTCTTCGTGTAAGACTGCCCTTCACATCCCACTCACCCCCCTTTGCCCTTGGCCTGGAGCAGGGGTCCTCAAACTTTTTAAACAGGGGGCCAGTTCACTGTCCCTCAGACCCATTGGAAAGCCGGACTATAGTTTAAAAAAAATATTTGAACAAATTCTTATGCATACTACACATATCTTATTTTGAAGTAAAAAAACAAATGGGGCAAAAACACCCGCCGGGCTGGATAAATGTCCTCATCGGGCCGCATGTTTTAGGATGCCTGGCCAGGAGGATGGGCCCACAGTTTGTGCCATGTGCCAAGGGGGCGGCCCCTCACTGTCCCTTTCGCTATTCTCTCGTCTCAGCAGGGCCCTGAGAACTGGCTCTGGTAGGAGATGGGGCTGCTTGGCCGAGGGCAGTGAGCGAGCAGGCGGCAGGCTCCTTGAAGGTGGGGAAGAGGGCCGCTCTAGACACCTGGCCTGCATTCCCGCCAGCCCTGCAGGCTCTTCCCTGAGTTTTCCTTCCTATCACTCACTCCTTGCAGGGGAACAACGGCCTCAAACCCAAGGACAATGACTTCACCTCCAAGCCCTGGCACTGGCCCATCAACTACCAGGTGGGGTCTGAGGCGGCTCCTCTTGGAAAACAGAGACCAGAGTAGACCATGGGCATGGGTCGGGGAGGCGGGGAGGGCCTCTGTGTTCTGGTTCTGACCCAGCCTTCCCAGAGAGCTCAAGGTGAATTGGCCCCTTTGGAGCCTCTACCCCAGCCTCCCGGTGGGAAGGATGCTGCCTTCAGACTGAGCAGCCGGGGTGAGCTGGGCCTGGGCCAGCAGCGTGCTCTCTGCCCACAGGGCCTGCGCTTCTCAGGGATCAACGACACAGACTTCCGGGTCTACCTGCTGGGCAACCCGGTGAGTGTCCTGCACGGCCGCCCTGGGTCTGGCTGGCGTGGTCAGAGAGGGCTGCGGGCTCCTCACCCCTGCCCTGCTCCCCGTGCAGGTGGTCTGGTGGCTGAATCTGGTGAGCATTGCTGTCTACCTGCTCCTGGGCAGCGTCCTCATCCTGGCTGTGCAGAGAGGGGTGTGCCTGCCTGCTGAGGTCCAAGGTCAGGGCCTGCGCCACCTGGTGGGGGGCAGCCAGCCTGTGGAGGGGGCATCTCTGCTTTGACTGCCCCTACCATTCTCCTTCACCTTTGAACCTTAACAAATACCCCTGTGCTGTGTTACCCCCACCTCCCCCCAGCCTCCCAGCAACCCAGAAGGGAGGGTAAGGCATTGGTGGCCCAGTTTATGGATCAGGAAATGGGGCACAGTGAGGGTCAGGACTTGTCTGAGACCTGTGGCTATTAGGGAGAGCGGGGCCTCAGAGGCCCCATTGTAACCACTGGGCCACATTCAGGGCTGTTCGTCTGTCCTCCTCGGCCCCTTCCTTGTCCTGTGGCCCTGGTCTCCAGGAGCAGAGGAAGCCAGAGCACAGGGTGTGAGTGCCCACCCAAGTGCTCCTGGCAGCGGTGGTGGCTGGGCCCAGGCCACAGCACCTGAGGGCTTGCTCAGACTCCATCTGAACAGCCATCCTCCCGGCTCCCCTTCACTGCTGCCCCGTATGCCGCTGCATGGGTCCACGTGGCAGCAGGGCCTGCAGGCATGAGGGCAGCTGCTGTGGGGTGTCCAGGATCTGGGGTCTGTAGGCCGGCTGCTGTGGGGCTGTCGTCGGTGCCGAGCCCTCACCAGTTGGCCTGCCCGAGTTACTGCAGGTGGAGCATGCTGGGACAGACGAGGGAAGGGCAGAGCTGGGCCAGCACCCAGGGCCTCTGCCCCCTGTCCCCTGATGGCCCCGTGCTGCTTGGGTCCAGGGCTGTCCCAGGTCCTGCTCCAGGGCGGTGGCCAGGCCCTGCTGGGCTGGGCACTCCACTACTTCCCGTTCTTCCTGATGGGCCGCATCCTCTACTTCCACCATTACTTCCCAGCCGTGCTTTTCTCCAGCATGTTGACTGGTGAGTGCCCCTGCTCGCCAATGGGGTCCACGGAGGGCAGGCTCTAATCTGCTCGCCAACGGACGGCCCAGGGGTCTCGCTTCTCTCCCCAGGGATTCTGTGGGACTCGCTGCTGCGGCTCTGTGCCTGGCGTCTGGCCTCCTGCTGCTCCTCTTCCCTGGCTAGGAGCATCCACGTGGGGGGGATCCTGAGTCTGCTCCTGGGAACTGCCTACAGGTGAGCAAGCGCCACCCCCCTCCCCCCTGCTCCTGCTGCATGTGCCCCTGCCCCTGTGCTCTTAGAACATACAGAGCCGGGCTGTCCCCAGAGAGGCTGCTCAGCTGAGGGGGAGGGAGCGAGCCTGGGCAGGACCAACCAAGAGTCACTGGAAGGTGGGCATGGTCCCCTCTCCCTGCAGCCCACAGACCCCTGTACGAGCTGCTGAGTACCAGGACTAGGCCCTCGGTGACCTTGGGGAGCAGGCCTGGCAGTGCAGGGGGGCCAGTAAGCCATGCCCCTTCCTCCCCACCCCCCCTCAGGCCCAGAGCTGTGTGCAGTGTTCTCACGGGTTCTGTCATCACGAAGCAGTGCCTGGGCTCGCTGAAGGCAGCCTCCCCGCGGGCAGCGGGACGCACTGTGAGCTTGAGGCCGCTGCGCCCCAGCAGGCAGGCTGCACAGGGGGGCCTGGGAGCCAACGCTGCCCCGCCTCTCTCCCACAGCTTCTACCTCTTCCACCCTCTGGCTTACGGGATGGTTGGCCCCCTAGCGCAGAACCCCCTCAGTCCAATGGCAGGGCTGCGGTGGCTGGAATCTTGGGACTTCTGAGAGGACTGCCCCCGGGGTCCCAGAGCCACCCGAAGCCATGGAGCCAGCCAACTGGAGTAGGCTGCCCAGCCTGCGACCTGAGCAAGTCTGCTGTCAGCCAGGCCCCAGGCCGCGCTCAGCGCCGTGAGGACGGCACCGGACCATGCCACAGTCCAGGACGCCCCCTCACGAGTCCCGGGCCCCCACGTGTGCCATGCGGGGAATGAGTGTGTGAGGGTGCATGTGCCCACATGCCTGTGGCGTGGAGGCCATGTGACGGTGGGCAGCTGAATGTCATAAACTAAGAAATGGGCCAGAGCTGCACTCATTTTTGGGGGATCTCTTCGCATGGCTTTGGTTTGGTTTGGGTTTGTAAGAAAGATCCTCAAAGGTTCTCTGACCCCTAAGAGGGTCCAATGGTGGAGAGTTCGGCCTCACCCGGGGTCTCGCCCAGTCCAGAGCCTCCTTCCCACAGGCAAGCAGCACGGCCCGAGGGAGGGCAGCCACCCTGAGCCAGGCCACCCGACTGCACCCCCGCAGGCTTGTGTGGCAGCTGGGGATGGTGTGTAAAGGATGGGGCTGGGGGGGTGTGTGACTATCAACCCTTGGGGGGTGGCGGAGCCGCGCCAGGAGGGCCTGGAGCACCCAGAGCTGCTGTGAGGACCAGGACAGATGCAGTCTCTGACAGCTGGGAGGGTCACAGACCTTCGCCGCACAGCAGGCCTGTGGGGCTGGGACCCCAAGGGGCCGCTGGGGCTCCCTGACTAAACAGTCCCTGCCCCTCTCCTCTGTGTCACTACTTCACCGCCCCCAAGACTCCGAGCCCCTGGAAATGCCCCACAGCCTCCGTGAGTTGGAGTCTGCCCGAGGGCAGTGAGGGTGGGTTTTTGTCTTCTCTCTACCACTCTGACACCCTGTCCCTTCCCCTCCCTTTCCACATGGAAATGATTTTGAGAAATGCTGGGTCAAACCCAAACCAGCCACTCCACCTGCCTCCTCCTTCCCCTGGCAGAACACTCTGTCTCAGGCCTGTGTGCTTCAGGGCTTAAAGGCAAATCCCTGCCCCCGCCTCTGAAACCCCACCAAGCTTGACAAGGTCAGGGCTCTGTGGAGCATCTTCGCGAGACGGTTGCCACGGAGACTGGAAATTGGTCCCAGGGACAGGCTGTGTACTTACTGGGTGGCTGGGAGGGAAGCTTTGGGCCAGGCTGAAGTTCAGAGCAACTGTCATTAATGTTAATTGAGGAAATGCAGATGCAGGCCGGCTGGTTAATCAGATCTGAGGCCTGCTGACCCCTAGCTAGGGCTGCGGCCCTTTGACTTCTTCCCCCCAACCCCCTCCTGCAGGAAGTCCTGCCTCTGCTGCTCTGGGCTGCTCGCTTAATTGCATTTGTTGAAGGGAAGGCAGCAGTGGTGGAGCATCTCTGCTCAGCCTCCCGCCTCCCCACAGGTGGAATTGATTGCTTCTGACTGTGTGAGGGCAGCCAGTGGGGGGCTCTGCTGGAGCTGGAATTCGGGAGCTGGAGAGGTGACCCACAGTGCCAGCCAGGTGGCAGCTGATGCCACCTGTGCCACCCTCACTTCTCACTATGACCTCACTGGAAGCGGGCAGCCCCTCAGCAGCTTCCTGTCCATCCCATCATGTAAGGTTAGCAGTTCAAAACCACTAGCTGCTCCACGGGAAAAGACGTGGCTTTCTACTCCTGCAGAATTCATTTTATCCTGTCCTGTAGGGTCACTGAGTTGGAATCAACTTGATGGTACTGAGGGAACCAAGGTGTCCTCTGTTCTTTCCATGGATGGGAGAAGGGAAGTCCCTCCCGCGTCCTCTGCCTCCTCCATGCCTTGGCTGGCCAACCGCTAGGGGGACAGGCCACAAGGATTCGTGGAGCTTCCAAGTTGGGTTCTGATGTTTGGAAGGCACTGGGGTGCACGGGGTGGGGGAGGCACTATCGGGGTGCTGCTCTGACTAGGGGCCCAGGAACCCAGCAGAAATGTGATGTGCCCCACAAACCCATGGTGACCACCAAAGCCCTTGTCAGCCCGCCCTCCAGCCAGCTTCCCAAGCACATTGCCAGAACGGATCAGAGGCCAGTTCGTTTTGTAATAAATAGCTCTTGTTTGGAATTCCATGTTGTTCTTGTACTTAATTGAATCCGACTTCCCGAAAGGCCTCTCTGAGCAGAGAAGACCCTCCCATTACACCTCGTCGTTTCTGAGCTGGCCAGGGCTGCTGGCTGGCCCGGGGCTGCCGGCTCACCCAGGCACCCACCCACCCAGTTTACTTGGGCAATGCTAGCTCATATTGATTGATTTAAACGTTTTCTGTAATGAACCAAGCCCACTGTCATCCAGTCGGTTCCAGCTCAGAGAAGGACACAGTATAGAATGGTTATCAGTGCCCACGGAAGCCGGCTACCCCTACCCCTTGCGTCCTCTAGACTAGTGTCTTCCATCCGCTGACCTTCCGGGTGCTTGGAGCATGGAGCCACTGCCACCAGGGCTACTTTCTGCCAAAGTTATACGTTTTCCCTCTTTTAACTTCTTCAAACACTGTAGAGGAGGAAGAGCAATGACCAGGGCTGTCCACTGAGACGGTGAGTGGCCCTGATGGCTTGGGGGCGGGCTGCCTGAGTGTTGGATAGAAAGGAGAGTAGTCCCATCCTGTGAAGCCCTGTCTTCTGAGCTGTGCTCCCTTATGACTAATGGCGGGGGAGTGAGGGGGGGGGCTGGGGGCCGCGTCCTTCGAGTCCTTAGAAGGGAAGACAAGACAGGAAATCGGGGAAAGGACCAACTGCTCTCTGAGTGGCACTGTGCAGTTTGCAAAGTCCCGCCACATCTGTGACATGGTGTGGTTGGAGGTGGGTGGCCAGCCCCCCACCACTAATCACAAATGGCACCCCACGTTGGGTGCCATATGCCAGGGTACCTGCCCCTAACACATCATTATGGGTCCAGTAGGCGCAATTGTACAGCGATAATAAGTAAAGATTATAGTAAAGTTAGAGCATGAGAGGCAAAAGAGATAGTGAAATAATGGAGTCAGACACATTTCATAGTAGCATGCTCACCTCAGTCCCGCTTGGTGGTCCACGTGGAGAGAGGGAAGGGAAGGAGGACAAAGGGAAAGGGAACAGGGGAGGAGAGGGAGCCAACGAGGTCAAGGGAGGAGCAGAGAGAGAGAGAGAGAGGAGATCTCTCTATTGCTAACCCAGGTCTACATACTTTTGTGGGCGTACAAGCCCACTAATTACAGGTAAAGACATACGTCACAAGAAGGGGTTGCACTATAGGTTATACAGTAATGGAAGGGGGTGGTCTAGGGGTATACATGCTATAGGAAGAGGAGGGATTGGGGGTATGCATGTGACAAGATGGGCAGACCCTAGATTCAGGATGGCAGCTTAACTTTGGATGTCATGGGCTTGATCTGTTCTCTGGATCTGCATAAGAACCATTATCAGTAGGGTGTAAGCCCCACTTACAGGAACCAAGCTAACAGTCGCAAGCCTTAGCCCATTGTCCCCAGCAGCAGGGAGCAGGGCCTACCTTAGTTTGGTGACTTCAGGGAGGATGTCTGTAAGCATCTGAACTCCCCCCACAACATATCCTCAGAAAGCCCAGTGAAGCCAATAATGCTTCCCCCCATCCCCCCCATTATCCCCATAAAAGCGTTAATTCTGCCAGGCTTGGTAAGTAAGGCCAGGAATCTGCTTGGCTTAGAGCTGATCTCTTTCCTGCTGCTCCCCCAGCTGCCAGACTGGGAGCCCCTCCCAGAATAACTCAGCTCAGGTCTCAGGAGAATGGCCAGACCTCCCCCGGGGCCTCTGCCCACTGCTCTGTGCAGCAGCTCCCTGGCACCCCACGTGCTGTGCTGGTAGGGTCTGGCAAGGGCTTTCCCAGGAAGCGAGAAGCCCAACTTGAGCATTTGCCAGTTCCCCTGGTACCAGGACTCCCACCTGAATCCATTGCATGTAACCAACCTGACTTCTCCCAATGAGGGGTAGGAAAGAGCTCCCACAGTTAACCCAGTGGACAGGCTGGTTCTGCACACCACTAACCCGCACGCACCTCAAACTCCATGGTCTGAACCGTGGACACGGCTCCTGACTGCAGTCCAGTGGAGGGAGGAAAGTAGTGGATCCTGGCGGCCTAGGGCCTGGGCCAGAGACTCAGGCCTCTGGTAGAATCCCAGCCCTGTCACATAGCAGCTGTGTCGACAAGTGAACAGCCCTTGTCCATGAGTCATGGGATGGAGAGGTGAGGGCAGAAAGGGCCCGCCCGGCAGGCGTCTGACACACGAATGCTCAGTAAATGTTAGCTCGTAGTTGTCGTGGGTGATGACTAAACAGGGCTGGAATGTTCTCCTAGATGATAGCCCTCTGCCCAAGTCCCAACCAGGGCACATGCCAAGCAGGGAGGTGAGCTCAGCCCCTCAAACGTGGGTTCAGACCCTCCCCTTTTTGCCAGACCGCACATGTCCCTCTCTACGTGTGTCCCTCTGGCCCTGGAAAGACAAAGTGCTGACCCTGCCCCTCGCTCAGGCAGTGACTCATAGGAGCCAGGCAGAGTGGTAAGGAGGCTTCTGGACTGTCGTCAAGAAGAGTAAGCCGGGGAAATGAGGGCTTAGACCAGCCATGCGCCTTGCAGGGAGCCTTAGACACAGGGCACTGAAAAGCAGACACTTGCCTTCCCTGTGACCTGGGCTGCCCCCTGGCTGCAGGGAGGGTCACAGGACATCAGCTGCGCATTTTGTACCCAAGTGAGTTCCCCATAGTCCCGGCCCCTTTGTGCTTCTGCTTGGGGAATCTCAAGACTCCAGGACACCAGCCTTTCCTGGCTGCCTAAAACCTTGCTGTCCTTCCTGGCTCAGAGCACCACCTCAGATGTGTGGGGAGACGGGAGTAGGGCCACCCCAAACTCCTGCTTGCTTTGTGCTTGGCTGGGAGCTGGGAAAGGGAAAGCCGAGGCGCTCTGTGCTGATTCAGGGCCAGGAGAAGGTTCAGCCTGGAACCAAAAGAGATTGATTCTGGGAGGTCCCTAGAGATCATACTACTGAACCTCCTTACGGTACAGAGGGGAAAAGTGGACAGAGGGGAAATAAGCTCAGAGACTCAAAACTAATGGGCCAACTCTCCCAACACGTGGACCACTAGAGCTGGGCCGGAGCCTGAGGAACTTGCAATGAGAAGTGTAAGTCACACAGGTGACCAACAGTAAGTAATGGAGTAAGTCCATTAAAAATCATGCAAGATTAGAGTGCTACAGCCTAATGCCTCGGATTCCCAGGCCAAGAAACAGGCTCACAGTTACTGTCCCCAAAGTCCCACCTGGCCAGGAGGAGCTGGAATAAGAACGGAGCCCACAGATTCCAAACGATGGTTGCAGTCTTGGCTCTGTCCTCAAGGCTCTGAGCCCTGGTGGCTTCCAATCTATGCCAGTTTCCTAGCTTGGACAGAAGGCGCCACAGGTAGCCCCTGGCTAGCACACTAGATGGCCAGGGGGCTGCAAATTCAAATACCTCTAGGCAAGGGGTCAGCAAAGGAGACCTGGTGGCGTAGTGGTTCAAGGTCAGTCTGAAGCCACCAGCTGCTCCTTGGGGAAAAGTCAGGGCTTTCTACAGCCCCATAAAGAGTCACCATCTCAGAAACCTACAGGGGCAGGTCCACCCTGTCCGTAGGGTCGGTGGTTATGAGTCAACATCGACTCGATGACAGTCTGAGTTCGAGGGGTTGGCACACTGGCTCCCAACCCAGGTGTGGTTCTTTGGGGAAGGAAGAACCCCATGGCTCCGAAGTGAACTTGAAAAAGTTTAAAGGATATTATTTCAAATCGTGGGGATTTCATTTGTTTGTCAATATATATGTATGGCTCTCGAATAACTTAAATTATTGTGAGAGACAGGATTGGTGGGTCCTTTAGGGAATATTTGGGCGGGGCTTGTGGAACCAATCACAACTCAGAGACCCTACAGGACTCAGTAGAACTGCTCCCACACTGTGGGAGTAGTCAGCCACCTCTCTCCCACAGAGCAGCTGGTGGCCTTGAACTGCCAATCTTGATGTTTGTAACCCAGTGCTTAGCCATCCGTGTCACTGGGGCGGGTAGAGAAGTGGTCTCAATTCAACTCCGCCTAGGCTCTATCCCAGCGCTTCTCAACCTGTGGGTCACGACCCCTTTGGGGTCCAACGACCCTTTCACAGGGTCACCCAATTCATAACAGTAGCAAAATGACAGTGATGAAGTAGCAATGAAAATAATTTGATGGGTGGGGGTCACCACCACACGAGGCACTGTATTAAAGGGTCGCAGCATTAGGAAAGTGGGGAACCATTACTATAGCCCCTCAAACCAAAACTCGGAAGGACCCTACCAGGCAGACCAGGACGACCCCACAGGGTTTTCAAGTCTGTAAAGTTTTACAGCCGTGGCCTGCCCCATCCTCCTCCCACGGAGGGCCTGGCGGGTGCTCACTGGTTGCACGTACCACCTGGGCTCTCTTCCAGCCCCCAACAATGATCCCAAACCCCTGCCGGAGCGGGTTTGATTTTCGGTGCATAAGACCCTGGGGTTTCCCAAGCTGTGAACCTTGACGGGAGCACACTTCCATCTTTCTCCTAACGCCCGCGCTCCAACCCCCGAGGAAGGAGGGACATGGCCGCCAGTTTCCAGAGGAGACGCAAGTCCGGATGGGGGGCTACGTGATCGCAGCTAAGCTCTGGAGCGCGCACGCCTGCCCCCCGCCCCCCCGCCGCCACCGGGTCGCTCTGGGCCGGAGCAGAGCGCAGACGCGGGATGGATGGACGGAGGGGGCGGGGGCCGCGGTCGCTTTAAAGCGCCGGCGGGGCGGGGTGGCTGGGGGAGCTGCGGGGCGCAGGGAGCAGCCGCCCGAGCGGGGATCCCGAAAGCGGCCCCTGGCAGGGCAGGTGGCGCGCGTCGTCGCTCGGGCCGGGACCAGGGTCCGGCGACCATGCAGCGCCCGGAGCCCGAGCTGATCCGGCAGAGCTGGCGCGTGGTGAGCCGCAGCCCCGTGGAGCACGGCACCGTCCTGTTCGCCAGGTGAGGCGGCCCAGGAGCGGAGCCGGCCCCGTGCCGAGTGGCGCGGGCCCGGCGGCTGGGGCGCAGCCGGGGGCGCTTCCTCGGGCGGTGGGCGCTCCCTGCGGGCTTCCAGGGCCGGCCGGCGGGGGGTCCTTGCTGGTGGCTCTCCCTGCACCGGGCCGGCTGTGCCCCCTTGCCGGCTCTGCGCCACCGGCACGTCCCAGGGGTGGCCGGGTGCGGGAGATGTAGGTGTCCCCGGCCTGTGCGGGGAGCGTGGGCCCAGAGCGCACGGGGCTGGAGGGTTACTCACGGAGAAAGGTAAACCCTCCCGGGAAAGGGACTAGGGGGACCTGCGAGCAAGGGGGACAGGCGCCAGCCGCCCGCGTCTCACCTCCAGGGAGACCGGTGAGCAGCGATGTGCAGACCCCACGGGAAAGGGGGAGGCCAGTCTGCAGTCCCAGCTCAGGGACCTTTTGGTAACTTCTTCGCCATCCCTCACCCGAAGGACAACACTGTCTCTTCCTGGCCTGGGAGGTTCAGGGGACCCCGGCTCCCTGAGCTTGCCCTGAACTTCCCCCCAGGCTTTTGTAAAACTCTCCCAAGCCAGAGCGCAGCCCCCCTCGTGGTCCTCCACTCCCCTCCCCGCTTCAAATGTGACAGGGGGCTTCCTCCTGGTTCTCTGCTTAGTCCAAGCGCCCCAGCCTACCTTCTCTGGAAAATCCCGACAGCAGGGTTAGGATTGTGGGGGAGACGAGCTTTACCCACATGGGAAGTACTCAGTGCCCAGGAGTTTGTTCTGACCCTGTTTAGCATAGCTCCCTGGAGCCATGGGAGCCCTGTGGGCGACACATTAGGCTGTTAACACTGGCAGCGATGGGAACCCAGCAGCGAGGGCTTCCCTTGCAAGGAGCAAGATGAGACGGCTCAGAAACCCACAGGTTGCAGTTCTCCCCCGTCCTGCAGGGATGTCCCGAGTCAGAATCCACTCCATTGGCAGTGAGTCATGGGAGCCTGAGATGACTGGGGGAAGTTCTGGCCCAAGAGTCGGAGGCTCTGGTGTCGGTGGCGGTGGTGGAGGGAGAGAGACAGGTTCCTATGATGTTATCCCCTCCTATGGCTACAATAGAGGGGCTGCTCTAGGGCCAGAGGAGCCCTGGTGACTCCATGGTTAATCCCCGGCTGCTAACCAGAGGTTGATGCTGCCGGCCACTCAGCAACTCTGCAAGAGAGATCAAGCAAACCGCTCCCGTAAAGATGGCTGCCCAGAAGGCCTTGCGTGCAGTTCCAGTGTTACGTTGGGTTCCTGTGAGTTGGAATCCATTTGAGGGTGTCCAGACACTATATGTCAGGGACCTGGTGACACAGGCTCTTCACAGGCTGCCACTCGGAGCTGGCCTCAGAGATGGGGAGGAGGCAGCAGCAACGCAAAGAGCCCTGGCCAGGTCGGACGGATGCACCAGAGCTTATGGCCAACCTCAGGCTCCATCCCACTCCACTGCTGGGCAGCCGGGACCCCCGGGCTTCTGGAGGGCTGACACCTAGCCCCGGCCCTCCCCACAGGCTGTTTGACCTGGAGCCAGACCTGCTGCCCCTCTTCCAGTACAACTGCCGCCAGTTCGCCAGCGTGGAGGACTGCCTCTCCTCCCCAGAGTTCCTGGACCACATCAGGAAGGTGAGGGGAAGGCAGGAGGCTGGGGCCATCGTGGGCATGGCCGCTGGGACCTGGAAGTGGAGGGGGACTTCGAGGAGGAAAGTTACTTTTATTTTTTGCCCTGAGGCCTCATCTTACTCCACACCCCCCACCCACCCTCCATCCCCCACTATCAAGAGTACCTGCTCCTTCCACTCTGAGTTGGGCCTGGGGCTCATCCTCTTACCTGTGCTCAGCCAGCCGGTCTCAGCTTGTCATTGCCCTCAGCCTGGTTCCCAGGTTCCCGTAGGTAGTGTTTCTCCCCGCCAGGAAGAGTCATCCATCCATGAAGACCAGGCTGGGCTTTTCTTAGATGCTCAGGATTCTCACAGGGCCCCCGTGTCTCTCCTTATTCCTGGGAAATGGGCTTCTCCAACACTTTGAGATCCTCAGGGGGAGGAGATTCCTTCATGGGTTGCCACACTAGCAGTGTAGCTATCACATGTCGAGCGCCTGCTGCCTACGGCAAGGTTGCCAATCATCTCTGATCCTGCCAGCCCTCCAACTGAGGGTTCTGGTGAGTGCTCTTGCCTCTGGTTGGGACCCCAGGGCTGTGGTTGTGAATTGGTGGGGTTGCCCGGGCCTCAGGTGCTGGGACTTTCGTTACACTGTTGCCTGGGCCTTGGCAGGTGATGCTGGTGATTGACGCTGCAGTGACCAATGTGGAGGACCTCGCCTCGCTGGAGGAGTACCTGGCTGGCCTGGGCAAGAAGCACCGGGTTGTGGGTGTGAAGCTCAGCTCCTTCTCGGTGGGTAAAGGGACTCATCCTCACTCCAGAACTGCCAGCCTGAGGCACCACTCAGTCCCCACACATCCCTATCCACCGGTTCTCTCTGCTCTCACGTCTCAGCTGACCAAAGCCAGGGGCCTGTATCTGTATCTTTGCTGTGTGCTTCTGACGCTGGCACCCCAGGCCTCTCTTTCTCCTTCTTTTCTCTGGAATGGCTTCCAGAGAATCACAGAAAATCAATAAACTTGAACATAGCTGATCTGATCTGTATAAAAAACGATCCCCAATGTACTGACTTAAAACAAGCTCTGATTTCTAATCATGACAGGGCTCAGCTGGTTGGTTCTTCTGTTCTACTGGGTTTAGCTGGAGCCTTTCAGGCACTGTCTTCAGCCGTGAGTCCAGATGGTTCCGGAGTATCCGAGATGGCCTTCAGAGAGTCTCTGCAAGTGGCATCTTTTCATTCAGCAGACAATGCCTGCCTGCCATGGTCCAGAAAATAAGCTCCTTGGGAAAGGGACTAATGTTTGTTCTCGCTGTCCCCAACACTAGCATAGTGTCTGGCCTCTGATGGAGATTCAATAAATATCTGTAGACTAAATGAACCTTATTTGTTTATGATCAAGAATAACAATCGAGAACCCTTCTTGTGGAAGCCTTCGTGTGTGTAGATGCTGTGCTAAGAGCTATTTATAGGTTGTCCTTTGTAAGCATCCCTACAGCCCCATGAGCTGTAACTTGCTTTCCTCTCTTACTGATGGACCAGTGAGGTGAAATAACTTGTTGAAGGTCACATGGCTTATAAGTGATAGAGTCGAAATTTGAGCTCTGGTCTATTGGGCTCCAGAACCTGGGTTTGGGACCACCCGGATTCCTGCCTGGCAGATGAGGCCTGGGCAATGACTTGCCCCAACCCTACTCCAGGCGCATCTGTGAGGGTGCTATGGAGGAGGACCTCCATGGGGTACCCTAAGGTTGGGCAGATTTTTACCCCGAAAACATGGACCGTGAGCTCCTTCCTCCCCAGCTCGGGCCCGTGGAATGGAGCGACGCTTCCAGCCCGCCTCAGGGATGACAGCTCCCTCCTTGCCTCCGCAGACGGTGGGTGAGTCGCTGCTCTACATGCTGGAGAAGTGCCTGGGACCGGCCTTCACACCAGCCACGCGCATCGCCTGGAGCCAGCTCTATGGGGCCGTGGTGCAGGCCATGAGCCGAGGCTGGGACAGTGAGTAAGAGGTGTTCCGGCGTGGCGGCCCCCATCTCGAAGCATGCCTGTCTGCTACTCTGTGTCATTGTCATCGGGGCTCCCCCAGGCCCCCGTGCACCCCCTTGAGCCGTGCTGGAGAGGCGATGGAGCAGGGCTGGGCTCTCAGACCCCTCACTCTCAGCGGCAGACAGGGGTGGCATTTCCTGCCGGAAAGGGCTTCAGCGTCCCTCATCCCTGTCCACCGGCCTCTTCTCTGCTGCCTCCTCTTTCCTGCCTCCTCTCCCGCATCGAAGGAAGAGAGGCTTGGCGGATGAAGCAGGACTTTGAAAGGACAGGGCTCTTTTTCTGCCTGTGCACCCCTACGCTGAGGGGCAGGGGGTGGTGTGTGTGTGTCCTTCCTTCTCTGCCTGTCCAGGCCCACTAGTGTTGTCTACCCAGCGTATTTATATTCTTAAATGAGAAGGAAGCTTGAGCCGTCATGGTGGGCTCCAGGCAGTGGGGCAGCAGTTGGAGAACTGCAGAGAAAGGGAAGGGGCCTGGATCCATGATGGGGCTGAGCGAGGCCCCCAGGGGGTTGCTCGAGTGACCCCTGGCAGGAAGGTGCTCCTGTCTGTCGCAGTGTTTTCCTGTTCCCTATTCAGCACTGCCAGTGGAAGCATTCTTCTTACTGCTCTGTAGGGTCACAGCTGGCGTCCCTGAGTGGTACAAAGTGCTTGGCTGCTGGCCAAAAGGCTGGGGATTCAGGCCCACCCAGAGGTGCCTCGGAAGAAAGGCCTGGTGATCTGCTTCCAACAAATCAGCTTCTGAAAGTCCTGTGGAGCGTGGTTCCCCTCTGACACAGAGTCAGGATCCACTCTGTGGCAACTTGTCCTCACGGCTCAGGGTCCCCGGCAGCCAGTCAGGGGTGTGGCGGAAGGGCAAGCAAGGAGGAGGAAGAGCAGGAACTTTATTCCTGAGGCTCTTCCTCACCTCCCCCTACTCCCACCCGGGCAGGGTCTTGCATGCGCCCCTTGTCCTGCTGTTCGCACAATGGTAGAAAAGAAGGCAGCGGGTTATGCCTTACCCCACCCCATGCCCTCCGCCCCTCTACCTGTGATCCCTGCTGTGGTTGTGTAGATTCGTGAAGAATAAACCAGGCCTGTGTCCCAGACTGAGGGTTCCTGGAGCACTTGGCCTAGGCCCGCTGCAGCTACAGGGAATGAAAAATGGGCCCAGTGAGTCATGGCCAGAATCAGGGTGCTGGAAGGGAGAGGCTGGGGAATGCCAGCAGCCAGGGCCGGGATGGAGTGAGGGGCTTGTAGCAGACACGGGCTCGCGGGTCAGCAAAATCAGCTCCACTGTCACTTGGCTAGCATACTGCGGCTACGTTTCCCAGACTCCTTGCAGTGAGGTAAAGCCATGTGACTGAGTTCCAGCCATTAGGATGTGTGTGTGGAAGTCCTGGTGGCCTCCTCCAGGACGGACTCCTGGCCCCCAAACTCCCAAGTGCTCCACCATGCTCTGTCCTCCATCGGCCAGCTTGATGCAGACCTGACGGTGGCCTAGAGGGTCCCATGTTGATTGCGGCAGAGTCACTGGGGAGGGCCCCTGGATCACTGTGTGGAGGGGGGTGCCTGCATCTCGGATCATCTGTTTTGAACTCTGCAGGAAAGAGAAATCCACTGCTGCTGTCTTAGGCCAGGATACGTCTGAGGGCTTATTTGTTACAACAGCCAGTTTTACCTATTCTCATCTAGAGATGGAAGCTGTTCTGTCAGGGGGTCTGGGAGCCCCCAGGCTGGTGGACGAGATAGGCTCAAGAGTTAGCAACGAGTCAGGTGTCTGGACAGCAGTGTTGGGCACTGTGATAGGTAGGCTTATTATGCCAATCTGGCCAATAGGAACATGTGGGATTAATAAGGTCGAAGTTTGGTTGGAGGGCAGAGATGGATGGCTCAGCAAGCCCTGTCTCTTCTCTCTCTCTTGCTCTCTGGTGATTGGACCAGCATGTGGCTGCTTTAGCTAGTTCTCTGCCTCAACTTGTGAGCTACACTACCTGTGGGACTACCAACCCATGGATCATGTTGCTAGAGCTTGAGGTTCCTTCAAGACCTGCTTCTCCACGCTGCTGGTGTGTACATTGCTTGAGTTTGAGGCTCTCGGATACTGTGGTCTTGCATTGCTTAAGTTCGATATCCCATCCGGGCCTGCTTCCCTAAGCTCCTGAGCTACTGACTGTTGGTGAACTGCCTGTGGCTGGACTGCCTGCATTGCCCTAGGGAAGACTTAGCGGTCTGCCTCCTTGACCTTGGACCCAGAAGCCCTCGTGACTTGAAGGATTTCCAGTATATTAACTGTTTCACAGAAGTGAATTGAACTGAGCCCTCTGTACTGCTGTGTGGATTAATTAGCTGTTATATTCCTTCGTGATATATATATATTTAAAATCATAAGTTTCCTGGTTTAGTTTCTCTAGAGAACCCTGCCTAACACAGGCACCAATGACTTGCAGTGTCTCCAAAGAGGCCGTCTACATCCTCTTGGGAAGGGCAGGTGCCAATCCCTGGGTGTGTTGGTGAGAGAGAGCCGAATGGGCTAGACTGGGGTGTGCAGTGACCCTGAAGAGTAGGTGTGTGTGTGTGTGTGTGTGTGTGTGTGTGTGTGTGTGTGTTCAGGAGGAGATGGGGGTCGAGAAACAGCAAAGGGAGGGGAGCTGGGTGGGAGATGCATCAAAAGATGCCATCCTTTGAGCAGGCTCGAGGTTGGTCTACAACCCTAAATAGGTGGTCAGTTGGATGATCCCAGCCAGCAGCATCAAGGAAGAAAGGCCTGGTGCTCTTCCATAAAGATGGCGGCCAAGACACACACACACACACACACACACACACACACACACACACACACACACACCTCTGTAGCAGCTGGACTCAGTAACATGGGGAATTGGCAAGACAGCCGTGGGTTGGGTTGGGTTTTGTTGCAAGGTGAACCTGGCTTCCGAGGTACCTGGGGAGCCCTGAGCTGGGCTGTGGGGGGTGGAGGAGCTGCTGGTTTCAATGGGTGTTGCTGGAGTCCCAGCTGGAGTCTCAGCAAGTGTGCATTGGTAGACATGGCCTGGAGCTTGGGGGCCAGGGGCGGCAATGTTGCCTTTCCACAGTGGCAGACAAAGCATTTTCATGGGCTCCACAGGCTCTACTGAGAGAGAGCCCCGCTGCTGGGTGAGCTCACACTAGCTGACTCAGCAACCATGACCTGCCTACAGCCCACAATAAGGCCCACTCTGGGAAGACTCCCTCCTCTGGCCCACATCGTGGGTCAATCCAAGCATGGGCCCCATTACCACCTCACACTGGTGTGTGTGTGTGTGTGCATGCATGGGTGTGCATGTGTGTGTGCATGCAGCTTTCTCACCCCTCTATTCAGGGCCTCGATCTTGGGAGCCTCTCTACCTCCTCTATACCCCGCCAAGTCACCTGCATCACTCATTTTTTACAAAAGCCAGTCCCTGTCTCTCGTTATCGACAGCAAAACGCTTCAAAATCACCGACGTGGCTGCGTCCTGGCTTCACTTCCCAGGAGAGCATGATAAGCCCCCCTCTCCCACCCCAACATGGTCTTAGAGTCAAGGTGGCCAGAGCCTGTCCGGACCCAACCGGCCTCTTCCTTCTTCCCACCTCCAAGGCAGGAAGTGGTGACCACACCTTCCCTATATGATGGAAATGTTTCAACCGTCTCAAAATCCAAGGGGGTCCCAAAGTGAATCTCCAAAGACCCCTCATCCCTGACTCCCCTCCCGGCTCCCACCACTGGACTAGAAACTTTTAAAGCAAATTAAAGACGTCCTGTTCTATGCCATGAAAGAAGGGTGTGTGAGCACTTCCAGCTGGTACTTCCCCCAGATGTAAACCCACGCCACTGTCCCCCTAACAAGTCCACAGTGCCCCCTTTCACCCCGAACCTCCAGTCCACGTTCAGATGTCTCCACGATGTCTTTCTACAGCTCACCTGTTAAATCGGGGAAGCGGGGAGGACGGGTGAGAAGTGTGCCGCCGCCCACCCTCTCCCTCTTCCTCCACACTGCCAGCTGAGATTAGGGAAGACCCTGGGGCCTTTGCCTGGGAACATGCCAGCATGCCAGACCCTGTGGGATCTTTTAACGCTGCTCTCTGCTTGGTATTTACTTTAAAGAGGCAACTAAGCAGAAAGGCGGGTGGAACTCCTTCGAAAAAGCTGCCATTGAGAACCCCTGGGGCCCAGCTCTACAAGCAGTCCCCTCCATTGCCGGTTTATGGGCCACTCCCAGTTGCCCTGTTGTTCTATGCGCTGGCTGCCACGTTGGAAGTGTGGAGCCTTCCTCACAATGCCCACCACTCCCTGCGGGCGCAGCTGTGGGTTCAGTTGGAGCCGCTTGCAGTTGGACCCTTCGAGCCGCCACCAACTCCACCACCAGGGCCCGTGTGCTACTCCCCGTAGCATCACGTGGATGTCGACCCACAGCGGCCCTCTGTAGGGTGGCACCCCGGCAGTTCTTGCTTCTCGACGCTGGAAGAATTCACAGGGCAGAAGCACTTTTGCAGCCCAAGTCACTGGGATGAGGGGAGGAGACGTTCCGGGAAGACAGCCCTCAGATGGCACACTGATCTCTGGAAGGCGAACCAGGCTGGCAAACCAGCGCGCCACTGTCGGGGGCGTGGCTGAGGGCATTGTTGGGCCAGGCACCTGTCGGGTTGGGGGCATTAGGAACAGCCTGACCTGCTAGTATCAGACCCAGACGGCTAGCTTCAAAAGGGCTCCAGGACAGAGAGCCATCTCCTCGCTTAAGACACCCCCCTACCTCGGACTTTCACAGATGGAGACGCCGCCGTAAGCCCCTGTAGCCACAGCTCCTGCCCCCTCCCTTCTTGTTTACCCTCCTGACCAGCTTACAGACTTGCTCTTCACCACAGCTAGGTTTGACTTCACCGGCTCCTTGCTGGAACCCTGAATCTCACCTAGGAGCACAGCATAAACTTCTCCTTTTCCTTCTCTCTGGCCTGGCCTCAGTTTATCTTTGCAGCAAGCCTAATAGGTGTTGGTCATTCTAGGTGGCTAAGTCCAGTCGCACCTGGGACATGATGTCCCAGGTGTCTAGTGTGTGCCTGAGCTGACCTTCCCCTGTGTCTAGGTGACCTTGGTCTGTGCGTGCCCAGCTTGGGTTCTCTCCAGAGGTGTCTAATGGGTGCCGGATCTTTTCCAACCCCTTTGTGTGGCATGTTTAGTGTTGGCATTCGGTGGAGACAAGTCACTCCATCCCTAATCTTTCTACCCTGCCTGGGACTTCCCCTCCGAGTTGAGCTGAGCCCGGGCCGACAGGGTTAGAGCCTGGCACTTGGAGCTGTAGGCCTGGAGGTGGGACTGGATACAGCCCAGAGGGAGGGCGCCATCTGGGCCAGAACTTCGAAACAGACCAGAACCACAAACTGAAGCAGAACAGGTTCAACATCTTCACCAGTGAAACCACCACCTGAGCTGCAAGGGCATAACGTTTCTCTGAGCTGGAAATGAAATAGGAAACATTTTTTTTGGTGGTGGTGGTGGTGGGGGGGGCTCTGCTATATTCTTTTTGGAGAAACACAGGGCTGGGTGAAGGGAGACAATGGACCGTGTAAGACATGGAATAACAATAATATTTAATTGATCAAGGATTCACGAGGGTGGGGGGAAAAGAGGAGCTCAAGTATAAAGAAAATGTTTTGGAAATGTTGATGGCAACGTATGTAAAAAAACGTGCTTGGTTTTTCTTTTCTTTTCTTTAGAAATCACAATACTATTTTGAAGGGACTCAATGCTGCAATGGATTCTAATATATATATATATTTAAGTGTCTTAAAGAAACAACATAGTTTACATCGTGATTTTCTTTGTATTCACATGTATGATCTTTGAACATCATTGCTGCGTTAGACTTAATGAATCTAATAATGGACGAATGTGTAGAAAGAACTTAACATTGTTACTTTCGGAACGAATACTGGCATGGATGAATGAAATTCAGGTTAATAAAAACATGCAATGTTATTTGTAATCGAAGGAGCGGCTGTATTTTTCAGAATAAACTGCTCCAGGAGAGAAATAGGAGAGGAAAACAGGCTTCAACGGGCCTCAGCTAACCCGTTCAGTCATGGTTGATGGAGGGAAGCTGGAGCGAGAGGGGTTTCAACACAGTGGCCAGCTGGAATGAGTGCCAGGCCGGAAAGCGTTGGGGTCTGAAGCCCTGATGTGCTCACACTCCCTTCCCCTTGCGCCCTGGGCTCCGCCAGCTGGTGGAGTCCAGGAGGCCTGGGTGATGCCCGGCACAGAGCCAAAAGGACCCAGCTTTGGCTTCTGCCCTCCAGGGGCGAGAAGGGGGGAGGTGAAGGAGGGAGGGGGAATAGCACCTGTTGACTGTTCCTGGCTGCCCTGCATCTCCAGGAACCTCCCTCTCTCTTCACCGACAGTCAAGACCCCGAACCCGGAGCAGTTAGTCCCACCCCATTAATTGTGCTGCTACCACGCTCATCTCTCGGCCCCCCTTCCCCCAAGTTTCCTGAATTCAGGTCTCTCATCTGCCCTCACCTGCCTGCCCTCGACATGCTAACCCAAGCCCCTCACCTGGGACCTCCCGAGGCTCCCATCCTCAGGATGAAGCCCAAAGTCCCGCACAAGGCCTAGGAGGCTGGGCGGGCCAGGCCCTTCTGCTGGGCCAGCATGACCTGACCACAGAGCTGCCTGTGTCCAGGGGTGGCAGGTGGGTTTGCAGATGGGTGCCCTTTTCGCCACAGCCCTGGGAGCCCTGCTGGTGGGCAGGTCCCAGTGCAGGGTCCTTCCTAAGGCCCCCTGCCTGTCCTCCCTGGTATGGCTCTGCCCTGCCGCCTGGCTCAGCTGTGGTGCCCCTGCAGGCTGGGCACACTCTCTGAAGCCCCTTCCCATCTGGAGTCTGTGGTGATACCCCTGCCCCCACCAAGGGACCACAGAGGCCTGAGAAGAAAGTCTAGTTAGGGGGTTGATGGGGGCGCCCCCTCTGTCCCCACAGGAGCCCCTACCCCCATCGAGCTGATAAAGGAGCCATTGACCTCAGGTTCTTCTATCCCGGTTTCTATCTGAGTCCAGGGGGATCAGCCCAGCTCATCCCGCTGCCAGGGGAAGGACTGAGACCCAGAATACTCCACCCAGGCCAGGGGCTTTGTCTCCCATTCACCACACCCAGTGTCCCCCACTTTGCAGGACAGCAGAGGCATCCCCGCCACCAGCGGTTGAAAGTTGCCTTCTCTCCGGGAGACTGTGCATCTCAGAGCAGGTGGTGCCCCACACGAGTTTCAGTGGTGGATTTTGGAGACCTGTGTCTCTTGAACCTCCACCCTTTCAGTCGTCCACAGAGGGCTAACTATTGCTACCAGGGACTCCAAAACGGAGCTAGCCTCTGATCAAAGGCGATTCTCATCTCTCCAAAGCTGCCCACCCTATAGCCCCCCACCCCAATGTTCAACCACCCCTTGTCTGTTTGCCTGCCCCGCCCCGCCGTCCTCCAGGACTGGGCAGGGGCTGCTGACCTCTCTGGGGACCCCTGACCTGAAATGTGTGTCTTTCCAAGTGAAGCAGCATGTCTAGGTCAATGCCCGCTCAGGGCCCAGCACTCACTTCAAGGGCTGCCTGCAGCTCCCTGGGGGCACAAGGACCACAGTTCTCTCCTATTGCTGGGAGGGCTGGGCAGGGGTGTCTCCCAGCACCCACGGCAGAAAGCAACAGATTACCGCCCCGCCCCCCAACCCAAGCAGCACTGTGGGGCCAGGCACAGGTGTGAGGAACCCTGGGTGTGGCAGTGTGACCCCAGGGGCAAACCCCAGGGAGCAGGAGCCCGTTGTAGCCTGCCCCGCTGGCCGGTGGAGGCACGGAGGAAGAGGCCCGCGAGGCTGGGAGGACTGCTTTATTCAAGGCACAGTCACAGCATTAACAGGGAGGGCGCTCATTCTGGCACCTTCTTTCTGGGTGGTGGCCAAGGAAGCCCACTCCCTGCCGGGGCCCCAGAGGGCACAAGGTTCCTGCTGGGCACTTTGCTTCCAGAGGCAGCCGAGGGACAGGCAGCAGGCAGGCAGGGGGCTGTTCCGTCCCAGGGAGGGCGCTCCAGGCAGAGCCCAGGGGGGGCAGGCCCGAGTCAATCCAGGCCACAGAGAGGGTCGAGTCTGGGGGGTCCCGGTGGGACAGGGGCCCAGTAGATGCCATGGTGGGAGCTGAAGTGTCTGGGGAGGGCCCATGTCGTGAGTGGGGGTGGGGTGGAGCTGAAGGGTGGACTGGCCATGACTGGGGGAGGTGGAGACCTGTTGGGCAGGTGTGTGTGTGTGTGTGTGTGGGGCTCCCTCCTAGTTTCTCTGTCTACAGAAAGAGTAGAGACATGAGGGGCCTCTGGAATGTTCCCAACATTCACACCACCTTTTCTTGAAACTGGTGGGCACGTGACCCAAACTCTGAGGGGAGTACTCCCAGCCATCCTATAGGCTGTTCCATGAGACCCTTCCTGAATCCAGCTTCCACAGGCTGCAGGGCTAGGGCGAGAGCCAGCAAGCAGTGCCCAGGGAAGAGCCCCTCCCCGGAGACACAGAGCAGACAATGCTTGGGCTGGGCCCCTGAACCCTCTGCTTTGGGAAGGACCCTTGCTTCTTGGTGGTGGGTGGGTGAGATTCTAGACCCTGTGGAGTCTGGGCTTATAATAATCCTATTCTTCCATGGACGTGGGTGGGCCAGACTGCCTCCTCCCCGAGGCCCAAGCTCTCTGGAAAGACCCACCCCCCCCATGTGTAAGTGTGGGCCACACACAGGAATGGCAATGTTTGGCCCTCAGCTTAGGGCAAAGCTTGGAGCTTCGGGGCCAGGATTCAGGCAAAGGTGGTACAGGGATGGGGTGCCAAGGATCAGAGTTCTGGGTCCTCCAGGGCCTGGGCCATGGGGGGGACCAGCCAGGTGAGGCGAGCCTTAGGGTCCTGCCTTCAGTAGGTGGGCTCCAGGGACTCCAACCTTGGAGGAGGGCGCCCAGGCAGGCTCTGACACGTGCAGGTCTTGTCCAGCTCGGCGCATGCTGGCTTACTTCAGTCCAGCGAACTTCCCCGCAAGTCCACCCCCACTGGGCTATGAGGAGTGCCCAAGGGCGCTTGCCCCCAAAGGCCTGGAGTCCCCTGCCTGTGGTAAAGGTGCTAGGTGTTGCAGGTGTTCTTGATCCGAATTCGGCTCCTGCAGGCCTTGGGGTGGTGGCCCAGACAGGCCCCTCCCCATCAACCCTCCTCTCAAGGCAGGGCTGGGCTGGGGCAGCCGGGGCAATATCTGTGTAGTGTCTGCGGCAGGGTTAGGCTGCAGGTCTCTCAAGTCCTCTTCAGTCCAGGGTGCAGGCAGCCAGAGAGGGGACGAAGGGCCCTCCCTTGGGGCTGAGGGGTTTGGTGGGGAGTGGCCGATGCCTTCAGTTGGAAGCATGGGTTCCACTCTAAGCTACCCCCCTTCCCACTCCCGGCCCCACTGCAAACCTAGGCACTTAGATGGGCACTAGGCAGAAGCTCTCAGCGGCCAGGACTGGGCCTTGGGGGCCCGCTTATTAAGCCTTGGGGCCTATGGGAGGGGTGTTTGTTTGCCCAACACCCAGAGCTTGGGGAGGAGAACCCTCCCATGGCTTTGCCTCTGCCCCTCCCCATTGTCTCACAGTAGCCATCCTGAGATAGCAAAGGCGCCCTTCATTCAAATCCACAGGGGTCTCCTGGGTGACCCAGCCCCGCTACTCTTTCAAGGATGGAAAAGTGGTACGTCTGCTTCTGCCCAGGAAACAGACGAAAGGCAGCAGGCCAGGAGAAGGCTTGGGCACCTGCCACCTCCTCTCAGCTCTGTGGTCCTGGCAGCCCCTGGCTGTGGTGCCCTGGGGCCTTCCCTCCCAGACCCCCATGCAGGGCAGCCTGGTCTGAGGGCATGGCTGGGAGCTGAACGCAGTGCCTATTTCTGGGCTTCTGTGGACAGCCGGAGAAGGGGGGCTGGGGGTAGGGGCACGAAGCGGCAGAAGCTCCCTGGAAGGCAGCTGGAGGGGGGTGGTGAAGACCCTGGAGCGCCTCCAGCGGACTTCTTTTTTTCTGGCTTCTCCCTTCCACACCGTCTCCATCTTGACATCCCCTCTCCCCAGGCAGGGGAACCCCAACATTCAGTCTCTGTGCCCAACGTTTCAGCTGCCTCTCCCAACACTTGGTGGCTATCAGTGTCCTCCAGCCCAGCCCAGGGTCCATCTGGCTGCCCAGTCCTTCTGTTCTAGAAGATCCTCACGGCCAGGGGGGTAGACATCTCCACACCGTCTGTAGGAGGTAGCACGGGGCTCTGGCCATCCTCCTGCCAGACCCTGCCCTAGTCGCCACTCTTGGAGGTGCCAGGTGGAGGCCCTGGGGCCCCGGTCAGTGGTACTGGCTCTGGCTCTCCAGTTCTTCCAGCCCATCCTGGAGCTGGGCTGAGTCCATATCCCCTGCGAACTCCTTCAGGCCACTCTCCTCTTGGCCTTCTGGCTGGCCGTTCATGGTGCCATAGGAATGCCGAGCGGGGGAGGTGGCTGGGGTCAGGTTCATCTCTGGCTCTTGTAGCACGGTGGCCACGTACATCTGCTCGGGACAGAGGGGAGAGGAGGCGGGTGTGGCCCCATGAGGAGCAATGCCCTGGGCACCCCCCTTCCTTTCACACGGTTACCCGAGGCCCCCTCCAAGCCACGGATCCTCCCTGCTGGCCTAGGTGCTCCAACCTTGCCTATCTGGCCTCTCCTCCCGCCTGCTGCCCCAGCAGTTCTTGATCCTTCTGTGGCTACCAGCAACTTCCCGGTGCTAGTTAGTGCAGGTCCCCTTCACAACTCGCTCTATTCATCCAAAGTCAGGCTGCACCCAGCAGAGAACGGCAGGCTGGGTTCAGGAAGTCCCGTCCCTGAGCTAGTGTACGTTCTAACACGGCTTCCATCCATCCGAGACGTGGGGAGCACCACGGAAGTGCTTGTGAGTCACTATGGAAAGTTTAGACGGTTCTGTGAAACCTCGGTCGGGTGGTCTGCCAAACAGCAATGGCTGGGAGAGCAGTGGGGCGGAAGCAACCCCGGGGATTTTACTACAGAGAAAAGCCATTGGTCATCCAGCCTCAGGAGCTACCGTTCAACCAGCCCCTTCCATCCCATGGGACCTAACAGGCCCAGCCGATGAGGGCATAACTTTCCTAGAGAAGAGCCCAGGAAAGCTAACCATTTGCACGGCACCAAATGAAACCCATGGACAACTTTCCCCCTGATCAAAAGAGGGGAGGTGTTAACTGAACGATGAAGGATATGCTAAGCACTCTAATTAGGAGTTGCTTTAGCACAATTAAGGAGCCTTGATGGCACAGTGGGTTAAGTATCTGCTAATTGACAAGTTGGCAATTCAAAGCCACCGGTCACTTCCATGGGAGAAGGAGGCGGCCCTGTAAAGAGCTGGAATAGACTGGACAGCAGTGGGATGCTGATGACAACTGCTGCCAATGAGGACAAACTGGATACAATGTAATCTCCCAGTGCCACCCCGGGCGTGGCCCGCACAGCACTGCCCCTAATGGGCTCTAGCGCCCCCATGTGGCGCTTAACTCTAGGAAACCTTTGAATCTAATTTCTTGTATACGAGAAATTTTGGATCTAGTAGAACCTGACATAAGCTATAAGGAAAAGCTAGAAAAAGCTAGACGGTGGGACATTCTGGAGGACTACTGACTTGGTCTCTAAAAAGTCACCAACAAAGGTGACATGAGACCCAAGAGCCAGGTGCACGGGCATTAATCTAATACACGCACTGGGCTGGCTCTTGGCGTGAACACGCGACGAAGACTTTCCTGGGACCACTGGGCATAAGTGAATACAGACTGGGTGTTAGAGGAGGTGAATATGCAGGCACATGGATGCAGACTGTAACTCAAAAGAGCTTATACAAGTGTGTACTGTGCACTATCGGTCCATTTCAGTCAACCTTGATGTCTATCGGTTGGCCTGTGGAGAGAGACCCGCGTTGAGACGCCACTGACCATCTTTGGGTGTGGGGAATAGGGACTGATTTCTTTAGTTTTGCTTATCTGTGCCCTCCCATACTTTTCTACCGCGATCAGATGCCATTTTGGGCTCATTGAAAGATGTACAAATCCATATGTACGTGTGCGTTTACTGAGTTTAAAGCACAGGTTTTAGAGTCTGATGGCCCCAACTCAAACTCTGCTCTGCCCCGGGCCCTGTGAGCCAGTGTCCTGGGAGTGGGGTCGGGGTAGCTGCGTTCATTAACCTCAGTCTCTGCCTCCCATGCAAGGCAGAAAGTCCCCCCAGGCGGCTTGTTCATAAAGATGCAGCTCATAAGAAGATCCCAGGGGACGACTGCTAGCAGTATTCCAGAGGGGACCCATGGGAAGGGGGTCATGGAAACCTTTGTAGCGCCTCCGTTCCCGGAGCCCCTTCTCTGACCCCTCAGGGACCACTGGTCACTGGGGCGTTTCCCATGGGAGGTAAACAGCCTACAGTTGGCTTTGCCCCTCGTGTCGGTGCCCAGTGGGTGACAGCCCCACAGAGTCCCACGGAGCATTTACTTCTGATGTATCCACCTAACCGTGCCCCAGACCAGAGCCAGCTCTGCCACCGGTGGGTGCCCTCTGTATTCGTGCCATGCCCCAACACGGTCTTCAGTTCCTCAAGCAATCCAGGGTCTCTTCCCGGTCTTTGCACTGGGAGGTCCTCTTCTGGGGATGCTCTTCCCCACACCCTCTGCCACCTGGGGGAGCCCTCCTCCCATCCTGGCAGCAGAGAACACACTCGCTCCCTCCTCCGGGAAGACCCAGGCCCGGCAGGTGCCCTTCTTCCATGTGCAGGGCCACAGAGGGCCTGGCCCCAGCTCAGAGCCCCTGAGTGCTCCCCAGCCTGCTCTGCCACCTCCCCGGCGGCGGCCTCTTCGCCTTACCCTGCAGTGCAGACCTCCAATAGCGCCCCGCAGCTCGGTCTGTGCCCGGCCCGGCCCCTGGGCCCTGGGCAGTGGCCTCCGACCTGAGCCTGCGTCCATCTGTCTGTCTGTCTACACCACTGAATTCGATATGGCCTTGCTCATCCTGTACGCGTGGTTCCTCTCTGGGAGGGTCGAGTACGAGGTGGATCTTCTGTTTTCCCGGCCCTTCAGCCAGGGCCACGGCAGCAATGTGACCTGGGCCAAGTCCTGCTGCGTCAGAGGAGGGCGCCTGGGGGGGGGGGGGGGCGTCCCCCCCACAAACACCCAGGGTGTGCACACACTGCCGCTGCAGTAGCCCACCCCCCCTCCTGCCCTGTCCCCGGGTGAGGCGGTGACTCACCAGGGAGGTGGGCGTGGACGAGGAACTGCTGGGCTCCAGATCGAACACCGTCTGGAGATCTTCCTCAGGCTGCAGAGGGAGAGTTGGGGTGTGCGCGCGTGGGGGTGTCCGAGAAGGGGACACCAGCCCTTGGTCCCCCCCCATGCCCCCAGAGGAGCCTCTAGCCACTCTGGAGCTCAATTCACGTCTAGGTGGCACAGCTGAGGAGCGGGTACGATGCTAGGGAGCCCCTTCCAGAATGTTCCGTTCCCAAGGGCCATCCTGGGGCAGGTCAGCAGAGTTGGGGCTGGAGCTCAAACATAGGCCAGCTTTGACTGCAGGAAAAGCCTCGGCTGGACCCGGTGCTGTTTTCCTCCGGAGACTTCCCCTCTGCATCTAGAATGAGTCTCCAACCCGGGCAGTCCAGTCCCCCCGCCACCCTCTTCTCTAGAGTGGACACTGACCCCATCCCATGACCCCACTGGAGTAGGAAGACAGGCCAGAGGAGCCATCCCCCTGGTCCCTTCTCTAGCGTGACACTCAGGCCAGGTGACAAAGCGATGCTGCCACCTGGTCCATGGTCCCAGCCAGGGAGACATCAGAAAGCAGGGCTGCCCACCTGTCCTTTCCATCTCACGTCATGCCATCCCTAGGGGGTGGCATCATCTTAAACGGCTTTCCTTTTCTTTAGATAACTCACTTACACAGGAAACAATTCACTAACATAAGCAGAAACCTGCTGGCGAGCAAGCAAAGAAATTCAACTCATATTCAGGTAGCCCTGAGAACTTAAATGCTGTCTGGGTATGCTGACAACCATTTCGGGTGTCTCATCAGACACCCAGCTGGCACAACGCCGAATGGCAAGGCTTGGTCTCTTCTCCCAGGTGCCCCGCTGATTGGCCAAGCCCCAGTGCCAGAGACAAAGGAGTCCCTGGGGGGTCGGGGAGCTGGGCCCCACTTCCAAACCAGACAGCTCCAGCTTCAACAGCTGGGATTCCTAAAGGGAGGAAATGACCAGGCTCCCAGGTCTTCCTCTCTCCTGACGGTCTACCCCTTGAAGTGGGGTGGGGTGGGGTCGGGGGAGGGCACGGCTCAGTGGGGCCCAGGCCTGCAGGCCGCTGTTGGGAGGAGCTGTCAGAGGGGAGAGCGGTCTTCTGGACATTCCTGGCCCATGTGGCGCCAGGCTGGGAACCAGTGCCCACAGGGCCCATTCCCTGAAGGGAGAGGACTGTCCTTCTCAGTGCTGCTGCAGGTGTCCAGGTCAGGAGCGTGTCCGGGGCTGTACCCCCTCCCCGCCCCCGTCCTGCCCCAAGGGCAGGGCAAGCCAGTGGAGGAGAAGCCGGCTGGTCACTCACCTCGGATACCTTCCGGAACCTCCCGAGGAGAGTGCTGAAGCAGGCGATGACGATGGAGAAGAGGAGGGTGGAGATAGAGAAGAAGGTGATGCTGTGGACTGAGCCTGCCAAGGAGAGGGGGCCTGTCAGCACGCTCCTCAGGGAGCCTCCAGCCCACGGGGGCTGCAGACCTGCTCGGCCTGAGGCCCAGAGACCCGGCCTTGCTGTCTTCCTCTGGAGAGAACCCAAGCTGGGCACGCACAGACCAAGGTCACCTAGACACAGGGGAAGGTCAGTTCAGGCACACACTAGACACCTGGGACATCATGTCCCAGGTGCGACTGGACTTAGCCACCTAGAATGACCAACACCTATTAGGCTTGCTGCAAAGATAAACTGAGGCCAGGCCAGAGAGAAGGAAAAGGAGAAGTTTATGCTGTGCTCCTAGGTGAGATTCAGGGTTCCAGCAAGGAGCCGGTGAAGTCAAACCTAGCTGTGGTGAAGAGCAAGTCTGTAAGCTGGTCAGGAGGGTAAACAAGAAGGGAGGGGGCAGGAGCTGTGGCTACAGGGGCTTACGGCGGCGTCTCCATCTGTGAAAGTCCGAGGTAGGGGGGTGTCTTAAGCAAGGAGATGGCTCTCTGTCCTGGAGCCCTTTTGAAGCTAGCCGTCTGGGTCTGATACTAGCAGGTCAGGCTGTTCCTAATGCCCCCTCTGCTTGATCTGATCAGTTTAGAATCAGGCATGGTGCGGACCACAAAAAACCAAGCTTTTTAAAAAAGGTGACTTCCGTTGCTTTCAAGTTGGTTCACGGCAACCCAGGTGCACTGAGTCAGACAGCCCCGTGGGATTTTCAGTGCTGGGATCCCCAAACGTTTATTATAAGGCACCTCTGGGTGGACCTGAGCCACCCACCCTTCAGCGAGTCCTCGAGCCGTTGGCCCCAGCTGGGGATGTCTCTGCCGTAAGTGCCCACATGGATGGCCTGTCCTGCTTTGACGTTGCTTATGGATGCGGATTTCACAAGGTTCCAACTGGAATGAAGATTCTTCACGTAGAAAAATATGATTGCCTCCTCAGAGCACTGGGTTGATGTAAGTGGGCAGTATAGAAATTGGATACCCAAAATTGGGGGGATAAAGGCATGAAGTGGTTGGCTTACTAACTTTCATAGGTGGGGGAATATATTCATAGGATAATAGGATTAAGGTGTTGGTGTTATTTAGCTGCAATTGTTAGGCACAGAAGATTTTTTTGTTTTGTTCATTTATAAAATTTTATGTTTAAATGAGTGTGGCACATATTGAATTGTATACTTTTTTTAGTTTTATCCTATTACGTACAGATGTGATTTTATTATTGTTTGAAAATGATATATGGCTAAAGAGTTATATGAAAGTGTTAAAGGGGTGGTCTGTGGTAGTCACCTAATCTGGCGTCCATTTAAGGATGAAGAGTGTAGGGGTGGAGTCTAGGCTGTCAATCTGGAGATAGCCAATGACATTTCTGTGTGGGCATGGCCTTCTCCTGAGAATTCTGGGAAATCTGGTACTTCCTCCTTGAAGGCGGAAGACACCTCTCTCTCTCTGCTACTCCCTGGGAGACATTGCAGAAGACAAGCCACATGGATGCAACCAGACCTCTGAAGCCAGAGAAGCCACAGAGAGACCCCTGCCAGCACTGAGATGCTTACAACACCACTGGACCCAAAGACTTTCTACCCACTGGCTTGTGATCGTCCTGCATTTGGCTTCATTGCATGTGTTTCATGAGTCTGAAGAGGACGTTATAGATTGGTATCGGACACATGGGCTACTAGCAGACTTATGGCCTTGGACTGGCCTGGGTTGGGATGTTTTCTCATGTTCAATTCCTCTTGTATATAAACCTCTCCCTTAGATGCATATGCGTGTTTATGAATTTGTTTCTCTAGTCTACCCAGACTAACACACCCACCTTGAGCTGCCAGTTACCTCCAGCACTGTGGATCCGGGAACCCCTCTTTTGTGTCACTGCCCCCGTGTCTCATCTTTCCCTGGATGTCCCTTTGACCTTTGTGCTCAGGGTGCCGGTGATACCAGAAAGCCACCCTGGATGAGACAGTCCCTTTTCCTGTGGGGGCAGTGGGTCACTTTTTGGTGGTAGCTGTTTTCTTTTTTTTTTTTTTTTAATCATTTTATTGGGGGCTCCTTCCTGTAGCAGATGGACAGGCATGGAGGGAGGAGCTGGGGACGGGAGCAAGGGGACGGGAGCTGGGACCCCGCTGTGATGAGGAAGCGCTATAAACACACACACACCGCCCCCCCACCCAGCACAGACTCTCCTGTCTCCCGCCACTGAGAAGTTCACGTGAAGTGGTCCGAGGAGAGGGCAGCATCCATGGCAGTTGGTGGGGAAGGGGTGGGAGTAGGAAGCAGTCCAGAGCAGGGGTTGGGGGAGGTTCGGGGTGAGCTTCTTCTGAGACTGGGAGGGACTGGCAGAACCCACGGAGCCTGGTGAGGAGACTGCGAAGGCGTCCCTGAGCTGGACTGGGCAGTGTGTGAGGCACAAGTGGCAGGGGCAGCAGGCCCAGAGTTGGGGTGGTCGGCCAACTCCTCCCAGCTTTCCACAGCTCACGAGACCCTGGTAGGATCCCGTTGGGAGGGTCAAGGAAATGGAGCCCACAGAGAATGAAGAGTTATTTTCTTCCCATCAGGGGAAAGGTCCTTGACATTTCTAGCCCTGGGTGTTGGAGCTTAAATACCGTTCAACCGGAGCCATTGTGGCCCAAGCCCTTCCCTTAGCCTTTGAGCTGTGCTGGCACTCTACCACGTGTCTGTTCGACCCAGAGACGCTCTCAGCCTGGCCATTCTCTTCCTGGCCTCTTGCCACTCTGACGGAGCTGGCCAGGAAGGGCTCCCCCAGCAGCGGAGGCCAGGCAGAGGTGAGGTGAGGCCCCGGGTGGGCTTGGCACTTACCGAGTCGCAGCGTGGAGAAGAAGAGCATCCAGAAGAGACCCAAGAGGGGCGCAAACATGGCCTGGTAGACGGCAGCCATGTGGATCTGCTCGTTGAGCTTGGTGGGCACGTAGGAGTAGTACATGTTGTAGCGGTCGGTCATGTGCTTCATGCACAGGTAGAGCAGCCCTGGGGCCGGAGGACAGGGCACTCAGAGGGCGACTTCAGCCACTGCTCTTCCCAGCCCCGGGGCGGGTCCTGATCCCTGGGACTAGCAGGTTCCCTGCAGTGTCCCCAGCTGGCCAGCTTGGGGAAGGGCGATTCCTTCGTCCATTCAACAGACTATTTTCTGCCGCAGCCCTCCAACCTCAACCCCCTTCCTGCTCCTGGACCTGACATGTCTCCACTCCACTGGTGGTCCCAGGCCTCCTCACACCCCCAACTGAGGATGTGCCACCTGGCAGGTGGGCCTCAGGGACGACTCACCGAAAGGGACAATGATAGGGCAGGTGATGCTGTACGCCATCACCACGCTGAAGACATTGATCATCCACGCGTACTCTCGCCCAAATTGGAAGTCTGGGGCTTGGCTCTGGAACAGAAGGCAAGGGGGCGCCCTGAGCTCGCTCGGCCGCCTTGGCTTGGCTGCTGTGGCTCCTTATCAGCACCACCCCCTGCCCCCCGGCTCCCCAGACCAGGGACCAGCCTTCCTCCAGCCCTGGAATCCGAGAAGCCACACGACCCTGCCACCTTGGGCTTCTTCCAGGTCCCCTTCCTGACACCCTCCCATGAGACATTCTCCGGGCCTGGTCCTCACCTTCCTGATATGGACTCTCTCTGGTTCCGACCTGGAGAAGAAGAGGCGGGTGCTGTACAGGAAGAGAGAGCCCACACGTAGGAGCTCCATGCCGGTGCCGAACAGAGCTGCTGTGATGACGTAGTTGACGAAGAAGGCGCCATTGTCTGGCAGGAACACGCACCTGGGCAGTGGGGGCAGGGGGCACAGGGGGGCCATGAGGTTGAAGGAGGATTAGAGAGGAGGTTGGAGGTAGGGGAGACAGAGAGGAGGCGGGGAGGGTGGGTAAAACTTTTTTTAAAAATCTTTTATTAGGGGCTCATACAACTCTTATCACAACCCATACATACATCAATTGTGTAAAACACATTTTTACATTCATTGCCCTCACCATTCTCAAAACATTTGCTCTCTACTTAAGCCCCTGGCATCAGGTCCTCATTTTTTCTCTTCCCTCTCCGTTCCCCCCTCCTTCATGAGCCCTTGATAATTTATAAATTATTATTTTGTCATCTCTTGCCCTGTCTGACGTCTCCCTTCACCCACTTTTCTGTTGTCTGTCCCCCAGGGAGGAGGTTACATGTAGATCCTTGTAATTGATACCTTCTTTCTAACCCATTCTCCCTCTACCCTCCCAGCATTTCCACTCACACCACTGGTCCTGAAGGGATCATCCGCCCTGGATTCCCTGTGTTTCCAGTTCCTATCTGTATCAGTGTACATCCTCTGGTCTAGCCAGACTTGCAAGGTAGAATTCGGATCATGATAGTGGGGTGGGGTGGGGGTGAGGAAGCATTTAGGAACTA